GCACCCGGCGCAAAATACATTTTGCCGCAGTTCGTTAAAGTTGAACCGAACGAACAGCAAACAGCAAGCTGCAAAATCGAAGCGCGCAATACGTCGTAAAGCTTAAAAAAGTCTGTACTATCGACCTCGATCAAATTCGGTAATCGATTTAGGATCCCCTTAACATAAAACTTTTTTATTTTAAACAAAAAACTTTGGTCTTGCTTCTTAAATCGTTTCATGGGAAAGTGCATGTGTACTTTGTAATCTAACAATATCATCTTATAATGTGTTGACTATTCATGTATTTTTTTTTGTTAGATAAATCTTGTTAACACTTGCGGAATTTGTGAAGAACCAAAGTTTTTTGTTTAAAATAAACTATAACTTTCTAAATTAGATCATTTTATACTTTATCACAAATTTGAAAGTTACAATTGCGATATATATCATTCACGTTCTCGATGTCAACAGATTAAGGTTATGATTTGCTTTCATATTCGATTTATTGATATCTACTTATTGAAAATAATTAATCAATTAATTACAAACATGTATCCGTACATTATTCGAAGTCATTCTTCGTTGTTTTATATTAAGGGGATCCTAAACCGATTACCAAACTTGATCGAGGTCGATAGTACAAACTTTTTTAAGCTTTACGACGTATTGCGCGCTTTAATTTTGCAGCTTGCTGTTTGCTGTTCGTTCGGTTCAACTTTAACGAATTGCGGCAAAATGTATTTTGCGCCGAAAGTATGCGTCATCTCATGTAAAATAAATTTGCGTCACGTGACGTTTTGCTGCCGCAGAGTGCTGCGCATGAAAAGGCACCTTTACGGTCACTATCACTGAATTTTGTGTACGGAATTTTGTAGCCCTAAACGCTCCCTAAGGCCGGAATCAGACTACGCATTGAATATTGAGATTGAAGATTGAAAGATTGAAATTTGACCAATCGAAACGACAGGACCTAAAATTTCTTTGTCCTTATTGGTCAAATTTCAATCTTCAATCTCAATCTTCAATGCGTAGTCTGATTCCGGCTTAAGAGCTGCCGCAGACAAAATTCCGTAACATGTGCGTAAGGTGTAAACTTAATCCGATGAGCCAATCAGGATATTACTTTAGGTGTACGTAATCTAATGGAAATGGAAGTAACAATAAACTTATCCATAACCTCACAATAAGGCGAATTTCAACCGGTTAAAACTCGTCTTACGGATAAGTTTATTGCTCTATTTCTATTTCCGTTAGATTACGTAGACCTAAAGTAATATCCTGATTGGCTCATCGGCTTAAGTCCATGTCTTAAGGTTACTGTTACCCCGGATCTACAATAGGTGTTTTAAGCCTTAAGTCGTAAGAAATTGACCAATCACAGTCGAATTCGAGGAGAATAATCGACTAGGATTCGTCCATTTCTTATGGCTTAAGACTTAAAACTCTATTGTAGATCATGTGATTAGTCAATTTCTTACGACTTAAGGCTTAAAACACCTATTGTAGATCCGGACTTACAGAAATTTTGTCTGCGACAGCCCTAATGGTGATCCTGCATCACAGTATATACAGTAGCGCAACTCTCCCAATTCTAGCGTGTACAAAATCGAATTGCACATGCGCGAGCTAAGTAGGTAACCAATCACGTAACTGATCCTCTATCACACTTCCTCTCTCTAGTTTTCTATAATTCTCTCGGTCACATTTAAATGTCCATATAAACCATAAAATTCATATAAAACGCAGTAGTGAAATCGGAGCAAATTGGAGTGAGCATTGAACAATCGAAGCCGTGTTAATATAAAACGTGTAAAGTGTTCGGTGAATAGTAACGTGTAAAGTGTTCAGTGAAAGAAGTGGAAAAAGTGAAAATTAATATTGACGGTGTCGAAAACGAAGGTTATGTTCACTTCGGAGAATAGTTAATTTGTATAAGGATATACAGATTTTCAATTCTCTGCCAGTAAACACATTTGATCTTAGCTTTGTTGCAGGTGCTGCTTCTTAGAAGATACAGAAAAATCAAGGAAAAAGGATGTCGACCCATAAATCAAATTTATGGTGTGTAATGAAGGAGTGCAATTACAATGTTACAGAGAAAAGACACTTCTTTATGTTTCCAAAGGAATGTGATAGGTATACATTTATTTTAATTATTTTTTAAAGCATGTATAAATCAGTTATTATTTTAAATATTTATAATTTTATATTACAATATGTATGTGTGTACTTTTAATTTTTTAATATTCTTTTATATATATGTACATATGTATAAAATGTATGTATAAAATGTATGTATAAAAAAACAATATTTTATATTAACTATTTCTGTTAAATTTATAGATGGTTGCAGTGGATACACGCATCTGGAAGATTTGATTTACAAGTGATGGGTCCAGAATACGCTCATCGCAACTATCGACTGTGCCACTTGCATTTTGAAGAAAAGTGGTACAAAATAGGCAAATGTAGAGCCAGTCTTCTTCCTAATGCTGTTCCAACAATATTTTTTGGAAGAAAGTAAATAATAAATTTTTTATAAAGCATTTTCTACTCTGAATAACATAGTTTTTCTTAAATAGTAAATTTATCATGTATAAATTAATATTACAATTTTTACAGCAATACACCTGTAACATCATTTCAAGAAGAAAATATAACTGAAAAAGATCAGGACAAGATTCAACAAGAAGAAACGAGCAGGTTTTTTAACTTTTATATATCTTATACAATATTCTGTTTCAAGATGGGGACAATGCAATGTAGAGGCCAGAAATTAGACGATATTTTAGGAATTAAAAAAAAAACTACGCGTAAATGAAGTTTGGTTTAATTTATATCAAAGTACATATTTTAATGTCTATGTAGAAAAAAATGAGTCCAGTTATATTTCCATTTTTATGCCTTTTAAAGCTGACACAAGCAAGCCATTAAAAAAAAAGCTAGGCTGATTAATACGATCCCTGCAAAACGGTTGATAACGGTAAAATAAAAAAAAACCCAAAATGAATTTTAAAATAGAGATCACTCTCGTCAGTGTCTCATCATAGAGAATTTTAAAATTTGACAAATTAAAAGAGTTATTCAACTTAAATAAAAATGTCATGTTTTAATCTTTTTTTCGCCTCTTTAATTCCGTAATTTTGTTTTAATTTTTCTAGATTTAAAATTCTCTGTGATAAAACTAAAGAGAATGATATATATTCAAAGATTTATTTTAGTTTTTTTATTTTAGATCAATCACTTTGCGGAAATCGTATCAACTAGCCCATTCTTTTTTTGGAGGATTGCTTGTGTTAGCTCAGAAAGGCACGAAAATGGAAATAATGGGTTTTTTTCTAGATACACATTAAATTATATACTTTTGTATAAATAAAATCACATTTATGTGTTTTATTTTCTTTTAAAAAAGTTCTTAAATATTGTCACTTTTCCGGCCTTTATAATGTTCCGTTCTCTTTATAATAATGACTCTTTATAATAATGATTTTATAATCTACATCAGCTGTAATTTATGTATTGTTGCAAAAACATATTTTATTTTTTATCAAGGGTATTGTATTAAAAGTATGTATTATGTTTTAGCGACATCCAATCGTTAAAACCTATGTCTATAGATACAGATGCTCATATACAGACCTACTTGCCTATGGATAAAGATGTTGAAATGACTAAACCGTAAGTTTTATTAAAAAGTAGTTATATAAATGCATTTTGATTATGGTATTTTTCTCTTAGAGCTATTTTTAAATATAATAAAATATAAATGTAAAAGTAAAATACATGATTGTAGTATTTTAAAGTACATATAATAATATTGTATAATATAACTCGATTGGTTTACTTAATCTTAATATCGTTAATATATCTTCCTTAATACATATTTTGACATCTTTTTCTACTGTTATAGTTACATCTTTTTTTTAAGTGTTCAATACATTTTTACAATAGTATTCTATTTCTGATTTGCATATAGGAGCACATCGAAGACCACATATATACCAACCATAGCAGGAACTCCGAAAAAGAAAAACTTACAAAAACGGAATTTAAAATTAACAGCAGAAAATAAAAAACTACGCGAAAGAATTAGAAGACTCCAAAAGAAAATACAAAGGATGGAAAATACAAGAAAAAGTAAGGAAGACCCTAAGAAATACGAAACTCTTCGTCAACTAGGTTGTCAATTACTACCCGTGAATGTTTCACAATTATTATCCGCACAGATTGACGCCCAAATTATAATATATTGTATGCATATTTGTAAATGTTCTTAAAATAAATTCTCTTACCATACAAAAATATTTTTATTATTGTGCATAAATATATTTTGATTTTGATTTATTAATTTTATTAATATTTGTTTTTTCTAATTTTTTTTAGATTTATAGATTTAAGAAGTACATACTTATTATGTTTTTTATTTTAATGCAATATTTGAATAAATATATTGATTTTACATACTATTTGTCCCTTACTTCACTCTTAACATTTTTACTAAAAATGTATAAATGTATATATGTATGTAATAAATATATTTCCTTTTCAGTAAATAATATTTCTATAATTATATGTATATTTCTCTTTAGTATTTTCTCAATTTTATATTTCTTATTGATCAATACAGATTCTATATTGTGTGGTTAGCTACTTATTTATTTTCTAATTTAATTTATATATTAAATGTAATGACTAATATATGTAAATAACAAGTTAAGAAAAGAGAAGAAATGATAAAAGAGCTATAATGTAAAATAGAAATTCAGTGATATAAGGTTCTTTTGTAACTGAGCTAGTATTGTACTTAAAATGAAATAGATATATATTTGGAATTGGTGAAAGCATGATAGAACATTTTAGTGCAGTTCAGTGTAGCAACAAAGAGCAGGCTTATGATTGGTTACCTACTTAGCTCGCGCATGTGCAGTTCGATTTCATACACGCTATCATCAAAGGTGCCGACAGAGAGTTGCGACTGTGATTGCGGCTTGCGTGCGCTGCGTCGCTGCCATCTTTGTTGAATGTCTCATGTGTTCTCGTCCCGTTATATCGTTAGACGTTACATTCAATTACACATTTTGTGTTTCGTGTACGTTTGACGGTTACGGTGTGTCTGATTGAGATTTCAAGCATTCGCATTTTCTGGTACCTGCGTGCACTTTCACAATATTCAAGTCACGTGTGAGCTTCATAATGAGTACCGACAGTATTGAAAAACTGTATAGGAACTTTGGCATTCTTGCTGACGCTAAAGATAAACTGGTACAAGTATGTATAATTTGTTGGTTACATCGAGCACCGGCCATATTCAGTTAAAAATATATGTAGTTGAGATTTTGTTTCTAATTTATATACGTGCAATCGACGCTATGTTGTATTGAGCGTTGTGTGTGTGTGTGTGTGTGTGTGTGTGCGTGTGTGCGCGCGTGTGTATGTGTGTGTTCATGCAAATTTTCCTGTCGTTTAAACATCAAAATATATTCCGAAATACCGAAAATGCATGTAGCGTCCTATGTGCATCTGCGGATTACCATACAATGATATAATCTGATTTATCCAAATTAAATTTTTTTTCTCGTATATATCATTAATATTCTCTCCGTGAAGGACTCGGTACTATAGTAGTTCACCGAAAACTTTCTGTTTACAAAGGGCCACTGTCATTCGTCGAAATCATTTACCGAATATTTTAAGTATAATAGACATAGTTTAATCGTCATTGTTTTTTAATTGATTTATAATAGTCGCGTTCAGTAGAATGTTTATTTTGCAATTGTTACAAATTTTTTTCACGCTGGTGGTATTACACTTTTAAGATCGAAGAATCTTGTGTGTGTGTGTGTGTGTGTGTGTGTGTGTGTGTGTGCGTGTGTGTGTGTGTGTGTGTGCGCGCGCGCGCGCATCTTGAAATGGGGAGGTGAAAATTCCAAAAGTTAGCAAATTCACTAGTTATTGACCAATTAAATTATGAATATCTAGTGAATTTGCTTTCTTGTAATTGTCATCTTATTTCGAGATACACAATCGACTCCATAGATTGATCTCAGAAACTGTACTTGGGTGCATCCATTGGTCTGTTTTCTGTTCCTGCACTAAACTGCACTTGAATTCTCTTTCTCGCTTTCGATAAATATCAAATATACATCTATCTCACTTTAAGTTTTAAAAGTGTATACTAGTTCAGCCACAGTAAACAGATCTCATGTGTAACTTTATCCTTGTTTAACATTTGCCAATATTTGGTGAACAACGAAGATACATGGCTACATCTGGATCAAGTTTTTGAACGTAGCCCTAGATGAATAGTCCTTTCTCAGCAAAGAAAATTCCAATAGTTGTAAGATAAACTATTTGCTGAACATTGCCATTAATTCATATAAGTGTGCCATACTTAGTTATGAATAATTTGTTTACTTCAGCTTTGATGCCAATTAAGAAGGGATTTGGTTTATAATATAAATATTTAATCACATACATCCATCCTTATAAATTAATGGTTAATTCTCTGAAGTTAACTATCTGGTTAATAATTTGCAATGTGTTATATAAATGTACAGTACCCATCGATTCTTCTTATTACACAATATATTTAACACAGTCTTTGTTACCTATTATTATACTATTGCATAATTTCATCAAAATTGAAGCTGAAGGGATTCTTCTGGAAAAATACCAAGTTTTTCTTAGGCCCAGTTCCACAACTCACGGTTAACTCTTAACCGAGATTCAACTTGTTTCTCATCTCTTTCCAATTTTAAAATTAGAAAGAGACAATGAATAAGTTGAATCTCGGTTAAGAGTTAACCGTGAGTTGTGGAACTGGGTCTTGTTAGTTTTAGAAGTTTTTGATTTTTCAATTATATAAAAAATTGCTATATAAACTATATAAACACTTGAACTTAGCACAAATACATATAGTATGACAAATAACCTATATAAATAGAACAAAACTGTGAAAAATAACCATCCATTGATAATGTAGCACTTTAAAAGGCACAGTCAATTTTTTTATTGCGAATTCTGGTTGATAAATTTAAATCTGTAAAAAATAAATAAAATACAATCCAACTTTTATGATAGTAAAAACTTGAAGCTTTCACAAGTACATTTTTTTTTTTCTAATTTTTACATAGTCCAGAACAATATAATAAAAATCTATAAAGAAATTCGAAGACTTTGTTGCAGACAAAGAATGAAAATTTCACATTTACAACAGAGAAATAAGATTGTGGAACATAAAGTTATTCCAAATCATTATAGAATTTAAAAATTAGGAAAACGTCTCAGGGTTACCAAGATCTGTATGCTCCAGTTAGGGGTTAGTGCAGTACTGTTATGTATTTTGACTTTCCACATGAAAAAAAATTAACAGGAGAGAATTTTTATTCAGCCAAAAAAGATTAACGAAGATTAGGAAGAATGGAAAAAGATAGTTCCAATGCAGAATGCATATCCATATATAAGGTTTGTTTTCTATAACTGAACTAGTGTATACTTTGAATTTGAAGTGAGATAGGTATATGCTTGATATTTGTCAAAAGCAAGAGAGTTCTAGTGCAGTCTAGTGCAGAAACAGAAAACAGACCAATAATAAATATATATCAAATGTGCGTACATACGTGCAAAGTGTGTATAGTAGAAAAAAAGTTTTGAGTTTATATTTTAACTCTTTCCTCATATCATGATACTTTCGTCATAATACTTGTAAGCATGGGTATCTCATCGGAATTATTTTTGCTTACACGGCAGTGCTATTACATACGCTCAGTCAATGATAAAGAACATATAAATTTTCATTAAATGAATTCTTTGTCATCTAAGACTCTATATTTATATAGTATTATCCTTTACCTACAGTTTTTCTTATGTTATGTATAATATTTTTCAAAGCAATTCCCGATATGAAGTCTTGCTTTTCTCGTGTCGCAGGAATATTCTGATTAATAATACTAATGAATAATAAAAAAAAATGCTAATTAAAAATAATAATTAAATACTTACAATAATATATCGATAATACTAAGCTAACTTTTTTCGATTATACTAAACTGACTTGTCTGTTGTCTGTTTCAAAACAATTTCACTGACTATTCCTGCAGATCAAGAGCTTCAGCTTCATCTTTTGTTTATATATATATATATATATAAATTTAATAGTTTTAAATTTAATTCTTTTTTAATAAATTTTTATCTTTACAGTTCTGTGTCTTAATAAAGATCACATCGTTATGTTTATTGCTCTTGTGAGTTATCTTCAATACTGTTTATATTGTAGCATGAAAAGGAATATCTGGAAATTCTGACAGCAGTTAAAGGATCACCTAAGGAAAAACGGCTAGCATCGCAATTTATTGCAAGATTTTTCAAGCATTTTCCAAAGCTAGCGGATCAAGCTATAGACGCTCATTTAGATTTATGCGAAGATGAAGATATGGCTGTAAGTTTTCAAATAAAAGATTGAGCCGTTTTTAATTTTGAGTATGCTTTAGTAGCTGAAATAATAAATTGCGTATATTACACGGGGTGTATACTAAGTACGCTAAAAGATTTTAAGTGTGGTCATTCCTCACACAAATTCAAGAAATGAAAACTTTGTATGGCCATATGTCCGAAACGGCTTCATTTCAAAGATACAGAATCAACAGAGTTATAGTTGAAGGAATTTTTTTTCTAAAAATTTTGAAATTATTCAAATTATTTTGATGAAACTTTGTATATATTTAAAGTTTTATCAAAATAACTCGAATGGTTTTCAAAATTTTTGGAAAAAATGAATTTTTTGACACTCAGTATCTTTGAAACGAAGCTGTTTCGGATATACAATCTTAAGAAAATTTTGTTTTGAATTTGTGTAAAGTATCACTCCTTAAAATCTTTAGATTTTTAGAGAAATATTCTCATTTTCTTTTACAGATTCGAAAACAAGCTATTAAAGATTTACCAGCACTTTGTAAAGACAATAAAGAACATACAGCACGAATTGCAGATATCTTAGCACAATTATTACAAGCTGAGGATTCTTCAGAATTGGCAGTTGTACATAACAGTATTATGTCACTTATGAAAAGTGATCCTAAAGGTATTATTTAATAATACCTATAAATTTTCACTTGGATTAAATTTTTTGCATTTGTTGCGGCCAATTTATGACTGTATACTTAATTATTGAATTATAAATCGAGTTTGTATTTATAGGTACCTTAAGTGGATTTTTTAGCCAAATTATTAGTGGCGACGATGGAACGAGAGAACGTTGTATAAAATTTCTAGCTATCAAGCTTAAAGCAATAGGACATGACATTATTACGAAAGAACCGGAAGATTTGCTAATTATAGAATGTAAAAAAGTATTGCAGGTAATTTATTATTTTTAATATAATATAATACATGTATATACTTTTTTATAATGTGTTTTTTATAGGATGTGACTGCTGACGAATTCCACAGTATTATGGAAATTCTTGCATGGACTAGATTGGGATCTACTATCACTGGACAACAAGAATTGGTTGATATTACGATAGAACAAGCTGAATTGTCTGTACCTTTTAAGCACACTAATGTCGAACAGTGGAACAGATTGGTTCAATGTGTTAAACATGCTCTTCCATTCTTCAGTGTATGTATACGCGCGCGCGCGCGCGCGCGCACGCACACACACACACACACACACACACACAGATGCATTTTCAATATTTCTTCAAATGTGATTTAATATTTTAATATATAAATATGTTATACATTATATATGTTTCATGATCAATATTTAATATTTTATCTATATTTCAATATTCTTATCTCTTTTCAGTCGCAGATAGATTCTTCAAAATTTGTTTCATACATTTGTGTACAAGTTCTACCACATTTGTCTTTGATGACTTCTCCTGATGATAGAGATATACAATTGGAACTGTTAAAGTTGCTTGCTGAATTAACTGTATTTTGTGGAACTATTGAGAAACCCGAAGACAAGGTTCAACAGCTTTACAATACTCTTATTGTAAGTATTATATCTTTATCCATACATACACATATTTTAACAATATATTTTTGTGTGTATTGTAATATCTAATGTTCGTATTTTGTTGATCAATATCAAAATTATTGCTTATTTATCATTTTTCATTTTATTTATTTTAGACCTATATGCCACTTCCTCCGGCTACAGAAATTACAGATGTACCAAAGTTACAATTTAGTCATGTGGAATGTTTAATGTACGCCTTTCATAAGTTGTGTAAACAAACTCCTGAATTTTTGATAAAAGATGCAGAGCAACTCAAAGAATTCCGATTAAGATTACAATATTTTGCAAGAGGTATTCAAGGTTATATAAAGAAATTACGTGAAGCTATTAGTGGAAAGACAGAAGAAGAATTGAAATCTGAAGAAAATCAATTGAAAGTTGTGGCATTGAAAACAACCAACAATATCAATACTTTAATCAAAGATCTGTTTCATTCACCTCCTAGCTTTAAAAGTATAATACATCTTTCGTGGAAAACGCCTTGTAACGACAAAAAGGTTATTAGTTTTCAATATATGTTATAAACTGTTTTTATAAATAATGATAACTACAATGTTACATTTGTGAGTGCTTTGATTTGCAATATTTTGATTTTATTAATTTTGTGTCTATTTTAGAGCGATAAAAATTCTGTCCAAAAAAGACATACACCAATCACATTTGGAAATGACAATAGTTCGAACAAACGTAGTAAGGAAGATAAAAACAGCAAAAGAGAAATATATACGCCTCCCAGTGGCAAATACAGTTCAACCATATCAAATTACGGTGAGTAGGCAAATGTATTGAAATTTGAAAGAAATATTTTAGTTTATTATATTATCATTAATTTTACTTATCGTTTTAAGGTCGTGGTAGATTTAAAGGTAACAGACCTAGAGGAAGAGGTGGATTCAGAACGAGAGGTCGTAGCTCATGGCGAAAGAATTTTTATTAACTATAAAATTCCTTACAAATGGAAGCAGCTAAAATTAGAGTAACAATATTAAGCGCCTATTTGTTTCCTGATACCAACAAAGCGCGCTTTCAAAGAAGTTATCACAAAATTTAATTTTTTATTCATCTTTATCGCAACATATAACAAGTGATAGTTTGAAGACTTTGATAAATTGCCAGAACAGAGAGGAATCAGAAAATCAATAATTTCCCAAGCATTATGATATGGGAAGAAGATTTGGAGAATGCAATTGTAGCATTATATGAATATTTTGTTTAATTATTGTAATATGAATCGCAATGAAAATCCAAAATATTTCAGACATTTATTATTATATAAAATTATAGAGAGAAATAATATACGCAGGGATAACATATGCAGGGAATGGAAAGTTATTTTTTTAAAGTAACAAGTTACAGTTACTCGTTACCGAGTCAAAAAAGTTCTCGTTATTAGTTACTAATTTTTAAAAGTAACTCATTACAATTACAGTTATTTAAAAAGTAACTATTCGTTACTCCGTTACTTTCTTAAAATCAGTCTAAAATAAGTACTAAAATACAACTAGTCTAAAAAAATGTTTTGCAATATATTTTATTTAAATGTTGATAAAAGCAATATACAACAATGACACTAGCTTTATTTTTTAGTTTTTTCTTAAAAACAATTTCACAATTCTGAAATCTATAAAATATGTGGCAAACTGAGATTTGCCCGACATATCGAGTAAAAGTGTAAAATAATTCCTGAAATAATAGTATATTTCTCAGCTGTCAAAAATCACTGCAGGAGCGCTGCAGCAGTTGACAGCTAAGTATTTTAGAAATTACTTTATACTTCTATATGACGTAGCTATCAGACAGATATCTCAGTTTGCCACATATTTTACAATTTTCAGGATTACAAAATTATAATATTTTTAAGGAAAAATTAAGAAAATGAAGCTTAACGTAGTAAGTAATTTATTGTATGTAATTTCCTCCTTACGTCATGACAGAGTCAAATTTTAATATTTGAGTGAATATAATATGTGAATTCTGCAATCTATACACATATACACCAATTAAATTTTCAATCTTAAAACGCTATTCGATTAATATTTTTCACCATAAATTTTTCATAGTCCTTTAAAGATGCATATTTACGTAAAAATATCATTAAGTTACTTGTAAATTTAATTTGTTATATTACTATTCTAGTTTTAATTAGGAATTGCGTTTTAAAACAAATTTAATTGGCGCGCAGTTTAGAGAATTTGATGTATATACAAATTCATTCTAAAATTATTACGCACGAAGATTAAGCTCGGATTAAAATTTATCTTTTTAAACACAATAAGTTATCTTAAATTTAATAATAAATAAATTAACCACAGAGAGTATTAACATCTTAAGACATTTAAAAATGGTTAAAATTTGAAATCAAATTATGAATACTATCTAAAGACTGAAGATTGAGTAAATGAAAATTATATTATATATTGGATTCAAAATACAAAAAGTAACGATGAAAGTAACTGTAAAATTCGTTACCGTTACAAAAAAAGTCACTACATTATCGTTATAATTATCAAAAAAGAATAGTAACGTAATTATCAGTAAGTTATAAAAAAAGTAACTTGTGACTGTAACTTCGTTACAAGTAACGAGTTACTTCCATTCCCTGAACATACAGCACATATGAATATATTAAGCAAGTCAAGAAAAAACATTGATTGGCGGATTTCACGAAGGAACTATATATATGAAAAAAAAAGGAAGGAAGAAGATATTTCTCATGGATACGAAATCAAAATGATATTATTTAAAGAAATTGAAAAAAGTTTGACGAAAATAATACACAAAAATGAAAATGCCACGTTATCAAATTCAAATTTCAAACACGCAATTGTGTTACCGGACACGAATACACCGATCATGGTTATGGAAACAGAAATAGTTCCTTCCTTGTAAAAAAAATTTTGTGACATTTAAAACAAAAATTTTACAAAAATATATCCTGTAGCCATTCCTAAATTAGCTTCCTCCTCTCCGTTCCTAAACCTTTATCTTTATTGATATTTGTTAATACTTATTTGTTGACAGGATCGAACTGTGTATAACAGAGAATTCGAAATCAGCCATGCATAACAGCTGTTTTATCGAAAAAACACAGGATAAATAATTTTCGATGGATGAGAGAAATATTGTGTATACGTGCACACAATAAATGACATTATTTGTTAAACTTCATATATGCTTATATATATATATTGGAATAAAATTATAATATTAGAGAGAATAAAATTAGAGCCCTATATATATATATATATATATATAATATATTTTA